TTACATATATGAAAGAACTGTTTTATAAAGTGCCAAATGAAGCTGGTTTTAAGTAGAATATAGTTGAAGACATGATTTATTAGCCTAGTTTTCTCTAGGGGTTAGTTTATCCTTGCCTAGGCTAGGCTGACTGGTTAGCAGTCTCCAGGGATCTGGCTGTCTCTTCCTTCCCAGCACTAAGATTACAGATGCTGCCTGTCACACCCAGGTTTTTTAAGTGGCTTCCAAGGCGTCAATTCCAATCTTTTCTAGGCGAGCACTTCACAAGCTTTATATCTTGATTCTTAATGGTTTTCTGTTTAGGTTTATTTATAGGCAGTAATCCCTTTGTTCTTCCTGTGCTGCACAGTATCACTCTCATTCCTATAATATCCCTTCACCTGAACAACTGTTTGAACAAGGCACTCTTGAGACTACCTGGAATTAAGCATACTTAAGACAATGAACACCAGCTGTGCTGTGTATAAGACCATTAGGCCAGGAAGCCAGCCAGTTGCTAAGAATTTCAGTCTCCCTCCCTGCCCCTATGTCTTCTTCTTTCCCTCCCCACCTGATAGTCCTGAGCAAGGGAAAAGGACAAGTGATCCCGATGAGAGAGAATAGCAGTAGAAGCCTACCCATACTGCCCAGAATTAAAATTGGGACCAAGTCTTGCATTATAGAAAATGAAACACAATAAAAACTATAGCACAGATTTTCTTCCCCAAATATAGCATTTCTTTCCATTTCTAATGTAAATGAATTACACAGATTGATAGGTTTTTAAATTTCCTGTTGGAGTAAGGGAAGGTAAAAGAGGAGGAGTCTATCTACAGACTTTACCTCATTTAAGCTTTTCTTTTTTTAAGCAAAATCAGGCTTTTGCACTGAAATAAAAACATCTGCCCAGGATTATTCATTTTTCAGAATTAATCTGAACTACTTACAACTTTGACTGATGAATAACATTATGTATTGTAATACGAAAAATGAAAGACCCAGAGACAGGTATTGGGGTTCAAGCTTCAAGCTGAAGATCAGAAAAGCAAAGCAGCTGGTCACTATCTCTTACCTCTATTTCAGACTGAAAGGGGTGATCCTGTCTCCACAAGTCCTCCACAAGCCTCAGACTACTGCCTCTCCTTAGCATGGCTGGGGGCTAAATCTCAGAATACAAACAGACACTGGGCTCCTGTCTTTTATATACCTCTGTTAATCTTTTAGGTTGATTCACTCTTGTGTAGCCCTGGGTGGCCTTGAACTCACAGAGATCAATCTTGAGTCCTGGGATTAAAGGTTATGCCACCACTGCCCAGCTTCTATAGCTAACTAGTGTAATTGGCTTTGCATTCTAATACTTTAAGCAATCTTTATTAAATCATAAATAATATATCATCACAATGCATTGATGGGGGAAGTCTTTCTGTGTATATATTTGTCTTATTGGTTGATAAATAAAGCACTATTGACCTATAGGGAAGCAAGATAGGTGGGACTAGGAGAGGTAGAGGATTCTGGGAAATGGAGGCACAGTCAGTCACCATGTAGGATGCCAGAGGAGTAAGAGATATGGACCCTTTCTCCAGTAAGAGAAGACAATGTGGAATTACTCAGATTAGCAGTTATGGGTTGACAATTAAGTCAGAGCTAGCCAACAAGAAACCATAGCAAACAGCCAACAGCTTCATAATTAATATAGCATCCTGCATATTCATTTGGGACTGATGTGGCTCAGAGACCAGGCTGGTGGGAAGAATGCTTGTTACAGTGCATGAAGGTGTTGCTTGGCCCATTCATCACTGGTTTTTGGATAACACTTAAGAACATCCAGAGGTAAAATAATAACAAGTTCAGATTTTTATGTCCAAGTACCCAACTCAGAGAAAACTGAGTCCAGAGAGATGCTGTCAATCATTTTCCTTCCACAACATAATGGAAGCAAAGCATGGTATAGGCTCAATGTTCTATTTTAAGCAAGTTTACTATTGGTATAGAAACCCATGCTGTATATATGCAGATCCCTTGCAAGTTTTAATTAAAATGCTAGCAATGGGTTAGTCATATAGGGTGATATGTTAGACGTGGACATCCACAATTGGGACATTCTACCCTTAGTGCCATTACTCTCCAGAATATGATTACAGGAGCAAAGCAACAGGGAAACTCAAGAAGTTAGCTACATAATAAAGCCATTGGGGTGATAACTAGTGTGCTGAGGCCCTAAGAGGTCAGGTTTGGGTCTGAGATTCTGGGAAATTTCATACTAAACCAAAATGTAAATCAGTTAATGTAGTGAGAGATCCACCCAGCCTCACCTGTGGTGCTGACCACACCCATTGGGCATGTGGTATTTGGTCTGGTGTCGGGGACTGGCTCATCTGCTCTTGGTTCAGGTTGGGTCACACTGGGTGTGGATCCTCAGAGCATGAACTTTTGGGTCATTGGTTTCTTATGTAAGTGACTTCTCCCCAAATAAATTTAACCTGTACTTAACCAGGTCCTGTGTATCTTAATCTGTGCATCTACAAGTTAACACTCATATTCAAATGGAAACAGGACAGTGCAGTGGGGACCAGACTTCTGTTCTCACTGGGACACTATTTGAGAAAAATTAGAAAGTTCATAGGTAGTAAAGGGACGCTGATGCTTAAAGGTTAGCATATCAATGCTGAAAACCTAGTATTGCCTTCTCTCCAATCATCTACCAAGGAACCACATTACTCTGAGCCTGAGTTAAATCAACATGCCATCCCTTTTCCTGGAGGTATTGAGATTCAAGGGTACATATTACTCAGCCTTGAAGTTTTGAAGTGTAGACTTGGAACCCCTTGGCCTTTGAAGTCCTTCTGGGTTATCAAGTTTATAATTATTTACATAGCACATAAATTACTATTCTTCTTGCTGAAACATGGTAGATTTTTTTCAAGACTAAATTACTTGTGATAATTTAAACATTCTGACACCTAATGAAAGTGTTTTAAAATTATTCCATTTTAATTTTTAATATGGTAAATATTAATAAGTGTAACTTCCATTTTAAAATGTATTAGGGTTCTCAATTATTGAAGGGTATAAAATGTTCCTAAAACCAAATATGTGTAAGAAACATAGAGGGAGAAAGAGGAAGAAAAGACTGGGGAGAAGGAAAAAGACAGGGAGAAAGAAAGAATTGGGGAGAGGAAGAGAGATGATGACTCAAGGCATATCCCCAAATGACATATAACCCTTCTTCTTGGCTCCATTACTTCAAGGTGATGCTCCCTTCTGGTAGTGTCATAAGCTGGTGGCCAAGCCTTTATTCAATATGTGACCACTGAAGGGAGCATTTAAGATCTAAACCATAGCACCCACTGTTAACATGCTGGCAAGTACCAAGATGTTCTTTTGAAGTGGTTTCAGAGTGCTCTGGATTAGGCCATCTTAATGAGATTGCAGAAGCATTTTATCTCCTAAGATGCCTAACATCCAGATTACTTCCAAAGCTCCAAATAAATGTGCATGAGGGAAGTATTTCCCCTAATTCTTGAGTGCAGGCACAAGTCCTTTCACTGAAGTATGCACAAACAACAAACAATAACCAAAGAAAACATCTCTGTGCTTTCTAAATTGTCTGAAATGATATTAGAACTCATGGGTACTATTTTTGAAGTTCTTGAACTCCAATCACAGTGAAAACAAAAATCATAGGCTACCAGAAACATACGACAATGAAGCAGGTTTTGTTTGCTTTTCTTTGTTTTGTTGAGTTCAATTTGGACAGACTCATTTATCTGAGATCTCTTATTCCATTCTTCAAAAGCAGTTGGCACAGGTTGAGTCTCATAGGTTGGTCTAGCATTCATTTAGTCAGGGGGTAGCATTTCACTAGGCAGTTGCTTCCTAAGAAACAGAAGTGCTTTTTTTTTTATACAAAGTCTCTTGAAACTTGGCTCGGAACATGTATGACCATGGATATAGTATCTACAAGCTTGGAATTATCTTTTGTGATCTTCACACTGTGTACATACAGATCAGCACAGATCTGGAAGCATGTGTTTTCATATAAAAATAACCTCACTTCCTTCATCCAGTGGCTGAAGGAAGCAGATGCAGACACCCACAGCTAAACACTGAACTGAACCCCTGGAACCCAGTTGCAGAGAGGGAAGAATGATGAGCAAAGGGATTATGACTTGGCAGGTGAAACCCACAGAATCAGTTGACCTGAAAAATGGGGAACTCATGGACCTCAGACTGATAGCTGAGAGGCCAGCATGGAACTGATCCAGACCCCCTGGATGTGGGTGTCAGTGAGGAGGCCTCAGCATCCTTTGGGGCCTCAGGCAATTTAGCCCTGTCATCCAGATGGGCTTTGGGAGCCCGTTCCACATGGAGGGATGCTGTTTCTGCCTGTGTACATGGGGGAGGGTCTAGGCCCTGCCCCAGATCATATAACAGACTTTCGATATCCCCCAACAAGGGCCTCACCCTCTTTGGAGAGTGGAGTGGGGATTGTGGAAGGGATTGGGGGAGGTTTGAAGTGGGGGCAGGAGAGGAGGGGAGGGAGAGGGAGCTAGGATTGATATGTGAAGCAAACTTGTTTCTAATTTAAATTAAATAAAAAAATTTTAAAGCAAAAAAAACCACCTCACTATATAATATAGGCAAAGACTGACTGAAAACTTGATCAATACACAAGGCAGTAAAAGAGGTGACACAAGAAGGCACGATGGGGCATAGATCCTGTGACTAGAGATTGCAACAAGCAATCATCTGCCGTTATGACATCATAGTGTCCCCTGTTATCTATGAGATTAACTGAAGGAAAAAAGGACATTTTCTCCCTTTTCTCTGTGATTATTAACAAGATAAATTCATAGAGGGTTCCAGGAGCCATCCCTGGTCCTCTTACCTGAAAGAATGGGCTAAACAAACAACTTTAATGGAAAACCATGAATTAGAAGGAGAAGAGTGTCATTTATCATAACATGCGTTAAAATCTTCAGCAAAAATAACACAAGACACACTTATCACATTCTGTGTTAATCAATAAATGTTTATATTTATGTAAATTAAACCATTTGTCTTTAGGAGAAAGTGGCAAGATCTAGAATAGCAGCACGTGGGAAGGAAAAAGTGATTCATCTTTCAGGAGTACGAAGACTATGGGAATGCATCAGTATCAGAACAGCTTGGAGAGGTGGTCTCTTCCTTGACAGTTTGGGGTACTCAGCTCTGACCCCTCACTGCTTCACTGTCTTGCTCAGTCGTTTCTTTCTGGGAAAGGAGAAGTGTTGAGTCTCCTGAGGAGTTTTGTAGGCACCTGACAGCAGACTGTGGAAGATAGCAGTCCTGGGACCCATAATGGGCAATCTGTAGCTAATGCTCTCTAGAAGACAGTTCAAGAAGAGTGGAGAATAAGGACTTAGACACTGTTCTTACAAAAACACAAAATAACCAAGGGCCACCGGAGACTCCTCCAGCCTTAGAAAATACTCAAAATTCACATAAGAATTTCTTTTAATAGAACCATCTCATGCCAACTTTTCTAAATCTGATCGAAGATGCCAAGTGAAATTTAGAAATAACATCCAAGAGTTAAGAGTATTGCCAATTAAATTTAAATGGAAGATAAAGTATATCTGGAACTGTAATATTAATTCAAGGGAAAAGAGGTCTCAATTCTCAGGAGACTGCTCCAGGACACATGTGTCCATAGTCCTGTTCTTTGAAAAAATAAACATGATCTTACAAAAAGACTACAGTATGAAAAGGATTTAGTATTTCAAAAGGAACTTTAAGTTATGAATAATCCCAAATCCTTATCATCCTGACCTCTTTTTCAAACATGATTGATTTTTTAAAAATATTTACATTTTTCTTTCCCAGAATATACATTGCTTAAAGGGGATAAATCATGCATGCAACAACACTTTCCTGTTGGCAGTAATTGAATGACTAAGGGAGTTGAAGCCCTGAATTTTCTGGAACAAGTTTGCTTGGTAAATCCAAATTGGAGTTAAATCTATTATGGGCTTGAACTTCTAGAATGCAGTGCAGCTGCAGCCTTATCATTGCAAATAGGAAGCAACAATATTTTGGGCTGACAGACATAAACAGGTTGAACACCACATCTAGCTCCTCTTAGTCTCAACTTAGGACATGACACAATATCTTGTCACATTTCTCTGAGGCCAGGTGCTAAACAGATGTTGGGTGGGTAACATAACACCAGGGCTCATCAAAAATAAGGGCCTGCAGTTCTCATGGAATAAAAACAAAGATAAATGAGTCCAAAGAAACCTCCAGCTACCATTTTGGATGCTGATAATAAGATTTGGCTGAATTTAGGAAAATGGTAGAAATCACTGTTTTGACCTGAAAAATGAGTTAGATAACTGTGGACAGTGAAAACACTGGGATTCTGTATTCATTGCATGTCTTCATGGGTGTGGCAGCTTAGGCAATAAGTAGCAAATACTAAAGTATTGATATGTCAAAGCTGAATAAACTGTTAGATGGGTGTGGCCAGGAGCTGTGGCTTGGTTTAGCACAAAGGTTGCTTATAGTGTGTGGAACAAGATGCTGCTCCAGCTCTTAAAGTGGGAATATGGACACCAAACCCACAGAGAGAGGTCAGCATCTGGGAATAGGCATTGCTGGTACCAAGCTACACTTTCTCCCATGCTTTGGAGGACACATAAAGCAAGAAAGCCTAGCTCAGAGAGTTCACAGCTAGTACCACATATAGATTCACCAATGTGTAGTCCATAAAGGGTTCACTCAGCACCCACTTTCCCTATAGCTCCGTATCCAAGATTGTTGTCTTAGATTAGACTGTACAGGCAAGTAAATACTGTGCCTATCCCATGCACCTTCAGCTAACTTTTATGTTACTAATTGAAGTATTCCCAGAGTTAACAAATTGGTGTTGCAAAATGATCTTGCTGAGAGGAGATATAATAATTAGGTGTGTGTGTGTGTGTGTGTGTGTGTGTGTTTGATTCATTCCTTAGCAAGATAAATCTGAAAAAAATCCAGGTCCAAGAGAAATTAAAAATAAGTATGTCACTAGCACAGATGACACTGAGACCAACTGGGTGTGCTTATCTCCCAGTGTTCTCTTGCCTTGCCGGGAATAACTGAGCAGAGAACATTGGTGGGGAACTTTCATTGGGTAGATGCTCTTAAGCTTAGGTCTCCCAACCTAACTCATGAATTAGGTCAATAGTTTTGGATATGTGAGAGGAAATTCATGGGAACTGGGCTGCCCCCTTTCACGGCAATGGAGTTGTATTCCCAAACCTCCTATTGTTGGGGGGTTTCCTTTGGCATGTGCCCAAGACACCCCTTCTGTACTCAACTTTCCTAGGTGGCTTCTCAGCTCAGCGCCAGTTATAAATCCCTGCAACTTCCTAGGATAAAATATCTGATTTCTGTAACCATAGCTTTATTTCTTTTACTGTACAAATCTAATGAAACAAAAGCTCCAGGTAGTTTCAGTTATTTTGGATCCATTTGGTAGAAAAAGAAATCACTAAAGTTTGAGTGTTACTAAATCTTTGAATTATGTCCCCCCAAGAAATGGTTTAGTTGTACATTTGTCAGTCCATTCCCACCCACCTCTAAGGGGTGAGACATAAATCAGTGCTGAAGCCTGGGATGTACTACTGTCTTTTTTGTTTGCTTGTTTTATAAGTAGCAATAGAACTCAGAATAGTATCAGGCAGCTTCTGCAGGAAGGTAGGTGTTTTAGGACTTCCGTGGAGAAAAGATTCCTGACTTTATGATGAGACCATTCCAGGAGCACTGTGATCCACTTCAGTTTTGTGTCAATGCTGAGAAAGGTCTTTTACTTAGTTTGTGTCACGTTTCTATGGAAAGTTCATTAGCAAGTGGCTTATTAGAATTATGTGACCTAAAGAGACCTTGGAGACAATATGACATAAAAACATGTGAGGCCCTTGGAGGGGACAGAGTGAGCTGGAGTTAAAAGAAGGAGGAGGGGGGCTGTGAAACAATCCAAACACTTACAAAAGATTATATGTGAAAGAAAAATGGAACAGAGAATGGAATTGCTCAGAAAATGTAGAGGCTGTCACAGAAACTAAGTTTTCCATTCTCTGGCCCCAAGTGGAGGAGTATGTATTACACTGGAAGTACTTTAAAAGCAAACCAACCTGTTGGAATGTCATTACAGGAGTGAGTAAACTGCTGGACATGGGGATGATGAAGGATCATCACTCTGATGGGAAGAATCGAGAAAATGCATTAGTCAGTTGGTTAGACCTTAGAGAAAAGGAACTGAAGGGTCACTAGCTGGCCTGGGCCTGGCAAACATGCCTCTAGCAGGCCTTGCCTTTCTCCTTCACTCCCTCTGCCTTGCTAAGAAAATCATTAGATTACATTCCTAAAGCTAACCACCAAGGTCTGTTGCCTTATTTGCTCATTTTCTTCTCCTGAGGCTGACTGCCAAGGTCTAGCTATCAAAGTATTGAAGTCTGGCAATCAAAAACCCCCTTGGGCTCACCTAATTAACAAGCCAAATGGGAAAAAAATCATCATAGCACGAGGCTTCCCCCTTTCCCCTTTAGAAACTGCCATTTCCCTATGTGCCACAACTGTCTCCTCTCTATCCAGAGACAGTGCTTTGTCCCTCTGGGACAAATACCCCTGGCCCTTTCCCTTGTTCCCTTCCCCTTGTCCCTCATCCTCTCTTATCCCCTGCCCTCTGTCCCTCTGGACAAATAAGTCTCCTTTGTGATGAGAACTTGGTATTGGGGATCCTGAACCAACAGTTTTCTTTCAGGAATGCGTCTTTACACATAGAGCAGGGGTGTTCTGTACTGCAGCGCTTGCTTACCTACCCTCAGGCCCCTTGGCAGAAGGATGGAAGTATTAATTGTCCAAAACCCACTAATTCTCAAGTGCTTTTCCTTGGTAGTATCTTAATGGGTTCTGATAAGACCTTCATTTTAAAAATACTTTATTCTACTATAAGAACATGTAAAGTCTAAAACTAGGAGGGATTAAGGAAATATTTCTCTAATTTCCACAAAAAGTAAGAAGTCTTCCAAGTCAGTCATTTGCCCTTTAAAAGCAAAACTGAGAGAATGTTTGGGCTGGCTGGAGAGTTTGTGACTCCTCCTTTTCTCCTGGCAGCCAAGGATGTGGGGCTGACCACCCCCCTCCAAATATGTTCAATCCTAAGACATTCTAGGTTGGTCTAAACTGCTTAACTCCTTAAGACTTCTACACTGGTAACATTTCATGGACTAGCTAGCATCGATTCTCAACCTGTTATCCCTTTGGAGGCGGCGTATCAGATATCCCTACATATTAGATATTTTCATTACGATTCATAACAGTAGCAAAATTACAGTGATGAAGTAGCAATGAATTGATTTTATGGTTGGGGTTACCCCAACATGAGGAACTGTGTTAAAGGGTTGAAGCATTAGGAAGGTAGAGAACCACTGAAAGCCTATCAGCACATTAGATTGTTTATCATCTGTCTATTCCACAATTCAGCAAATAAGTATGTGTACCACATCATTTCTTCCCTAATCCTTCATTATTTACATTTATAAAATAGTAACTCTTGCAGTGACTATAGTTAGAATCACTTAAGAAGAGAGGCAGGGCTGGAGAGAAGGCTTGGTGGTTAAGAGGCTCTTCCAGAAGACCTGAGTTCAAGCCCCTGTACTTTTGTTGGACATCTCAGAACCACCTGTAACTTCAGCTCCAGGGCATCTGATGCCTTTCTGGCCTCTGCAGGTGCATCCCCTCCCCACCCCACAACATACACCAAAACTAAGATAAAATACATTTTAAAGGAGTAAAGGAAATGGTTTTGGTGAGGTTCCATTACCCTATGTATGGTAAGACTTACAAAGAGTGGAGAAGATTTTAAACACAACAAACAGAACCAAGTCCATATTGTACAGCCACTGTAAGTATCAAACACAAGTGGTAGGCTTTCCTTCATTATTATGTTGAAAATGAAGCAAAAAACAAAGGGAGTTTGAGAGTATTTTAAGATCATTCAATTCTTGGCCATGGTTTAAAGGAATAAGAACTGCTTGTTTAAAATAAAATCAGTTAATGATTTTGGGATTAAGTGCTTTTCTTAAAGTACAAAACATTCTAAATAAACCAGGGCAACAGGTTTCAAAGTCTCTCTCACAGAAGAATTAATGTTTGTTCAGAAGCCCTTGATTCAAAGAGTTTCCTATTTAAAGTTGGCATGACTTTTATCATGATTTAAAAAAAAAGTATGAGTAAATGTTACTAGTGTTGGAACTTGGACTGCCCGGACACATGTTTCCTCTGTGACCTTTGTGTACCTGAGCCAGCACTGGTACATGGTTTCAGTGTACCTGACTTTTGTCACAGCCTGGAACAAAATGTTGTAATGCCATAAAACATTTTGCTTCTGAGCCACATATGATTACAGGAAGACAAACTAGGACCTTCTGTCTTTCCCTTTATTTAAGAGAGAGAATTAAAAGTTGCCTTAGTATCTTCTATAATTATTTTGTAAAGGTGACTCCATGCTTACATTCCACCATCTAACACAGGGCATTAAGATCATTGATGCCTTAACTAGACTGAGTCCATTTTGTTGTCTTATTTAATCTTTGTTTGCTTTAGTTAGTGTACAAAACAATGAGTTTCATTATGATGTTTCATATCTTCCAAGCATTGTATTTGGGCCTGGAGTTTTTTTTAATTGAGGTTTTCCCAATGAGAACATTATATTTGCACACAACCCCTCATGCCCACAACTCCTTCTAAGTTCTCTTTAGAGTTTTAAAAAATTAAGAAGTAAATTCTTCACTGTTGATAGTGAAATACAAGAAAAAAGTATAAAGCCCCAATTAATCAGAATTTAACTAGATTTTATTTAGTTGTATTTGTGGTACCCTGTTGTATTTCTGTTGTATTGCATCAAACAAAATTGAATGTATAAGTAGAATTTAAGTTGATGAAAGTCAACAGAGGATGCCTTGAACTTAGGACAAAGTGTGTGTAATCTCCCATATTTTGTGATTTAGATATATATCATCTATATGGAAATTGTTATCTGCCCAAGGGCAATCAAGACATTTCCTACCCAACCCCTCCCATTGTTCTTATGTGTGTGGAAAGAACTGTTGTGTTAATAGTAACTAAGTAATCATTCATGCAAAGAAGTGACATAATTTAATTTGTCAGACCCCTTGGCTCCAACAGAAGATAAAACAACCATGAAGTTCATTGCCAGGGTCTTCTGTTTACTGTCCTTCCAATCCCAGTTCAGTGTCCCAAACAGACAGAACCAGAACTTAAGTCAGATCCAGCTTACATCTTTGGCTTACCTGTGATTCACAGAATTCTGGGAGGGTGGTTGCTCATCATGGTCTGGGATTGTGAAATTTTTTGGCTGTACCTGAGAAAAAAGCCTGATTCAGTATGTTGACTGTTACACTCTGATCTAAATAATGGGCATTAGCAAACCGAGATGTGTCTGATACCATTCCCATATCCTCTTGCATCTTCCTGCTCCTGCTCTCAGAGTAGCTACCATGACTCCCACAAGCTGCTGGCTCCTGGTATTTCTCTGCCACATGGTCTAAGGCCTGCTCTCTGAACACTCATAAGACATTTCTGCACTTTTTGCTCAATGGTGTCTGCCTTTCCTGATAAACCTGCATCTTCTTGAGGCGATGACTGCATTTCCACACTGGTGTGTTTGAGTATTAGTGAACACATGATGCCAATGTGAAGCACATTTGAAATCATGTGCCTTTCTCACAGGCTAGAATCAGCAGAGTCACAACTTCTCAAGTTGGAAGATACCTCACTCTTGAGTTACTTTGATCCCAGCACTTTCCTTCAGGGAGTGCACATTCACTCAGCACCTTTCCACTAAAGATAATGGTACCTGTGACAGCGAAATGGTAATTATGAAAACATGGGAGTAGGTGTTCACTTGGCCTACTCACTGAAGGACTTGGGATTTAAACTCATGGTATAATAAAATTGCAAATTGTTATGTGTCTAATACCTCTAGGGATGCCTGAAAATAGAAAAATTCAATGCCAGCTCTATCTGAATGGCCTAGCAATTTTAGTCAGATTATTCTCCTGAATCATTGGCTGAGGGAAGATTGAGGAGGAAAAAGAAGAAAATGATTAGGAGTCAAGGAGTATCTGGGGAAGTGAGAGCAGCGACAGCTTCAGTGAGGACCTAGGGGGAGAAGAAGAGAGAATATTACAGAAACAGACCTTGTCTTTCCTCAAATTTCATCTATAGTTGATTCTAAAGGGGGGCAGGGAACTTCCTACCTCCTGTAGAGTAGCATGACCCACCCATGTTCTACAGCCCCTCACTCTGACTAGTAGTATTTTATGCATAATCTAGGGTCTAGGGACTACACAGAACAAAGCTGCTGACGATGGCATTTTTGTTTCTGAGACAAATTGCTTCTGGATGAATCTACTCATTTTTCCCCATCTTTTTTTCATTTCTTAAACCTTAACTATACATATTTATGGATATAATTTGATATGAGCATATAGTGTGATAACCTAATCAGTAGTTAAATATTTCTCTATCCTTAAATAATTTTTAAATGCAACAAAAACACGATTGTGCTAGTTTATCTAGTATAGTGTGCTTATTTTGATACTTAACACTTTACTTTCCTAATTATTACTTTGCATTCGGAGTTTCCCGGTTCCTTGCTTCCACTGTACATAAAATAGCAGGTTATCATGAAATGCAGTCATGTCACTGTGCTGTAGACTTACACTTGTAGGACTTCTTGCTTCCATCTATGCTTTGGTACCCATTATTCAAGCTTACTTTATCTCTTCCACCCTTCTCAACCTTTATTGATCTCTACTGTATATCCTGACTAGATTTTTAAATTTTACATATGAGAAAATAGGTAATATTTGTCTTTCTGCACCTGGCTTATTTCATTTAATTAGCACAGTGACATCAGGCTGTATAAGATTTTGTTGCAAATGAGAAGATGCTATTCTTTATGTTGCTTCATAATATTCCATTATGCATTACCATCTATTCTCTTTCCTTTCATCCCTTAATAGGTCTCAAGGTTAGATACATATCTTAGCTACTGTGGACAATACAGTAATCAGCCTTTTTAATATGCTGATATAATTTTCTCTGTCTATATAATAGAAGAGGGCTGGTTGGATCTCACGGTAGCTCTATTTTGAGATTTTTTTCTGAGGAACCACCGTGCTATATGTTCTCCATAATGACTAATTCCTATTCCCACAAATATACATTATTTTTTTCAAATTTTTGCCAATATTCATTATTTATGGACTTTTTGGTAATAACTATTCAAATCAGAACAATATCTGCCTTCACTACTTCCTAGTGAAGTAGAGATCTTTTCCCTGTAATTTGCTCATCATTTGAATGTCTCCCACTGAGAAGTGACTGCCCATATCCTTTGTTCATTTTATATTGAATTTTATTATTGAAATGTTAAGTTTCTTACATATTCTAGACATTAGCCCATTGTAAATGAGTGGTTTGCAATCCACCCATTTTATAGGTGTCTCTTGACTGTTTCTTTTGTTCAGATTTTTAGTTTATATGTAGTTATATAATCTTCTAGGCTTGTATAGTTATATAATCTCATACATTTATATTTGTTTTATTTTCTGCTCTTTGTCTTACACCCTTCTCCAAATCAGCCTATATGGACATTTTAAGTGTTTTTCCTGTTTCCTTCTAGTAGGTCTTTAATCTATTTTCTGTTTGTAAGATAAGAGGGGCCACTTTTTTCTATTTTCCCTTTGAGTGTCTGTTTTCCTGAGCACTGCTAACAAAGAGGCCATCTTTTCCCCCAGGGCATACTTTTGGCTTCTATGTTCAGAATCCAATGGCTGCAAAAGCATGATGTTATGTGTGGGGTTTTGTGGTGGATCTCTTTTACTATGCTGAGAAAGTTCTCTTCCATTCCTAGGGGTCTTTGCATCCTCCTCTACTGTCTTCATTGAATGAGCTGTTAGGGAAGGGTGGGCGACAGAGAAACTACAGAAACTCAATAGTTCCTTCCCTTGGAGGATACTGTGAGGTGTGAGGCTAGCATTTCAGGCTTGCTTTCTACCTTTCTGTAGTTTCTCAGCCAGCTGGGAAGAGTTCCTAGGCACTACTGTGTTGGAAGACCGTTACTGTAGCGTCTGTAGCAAGCAGTGAGGGCATGGGCCCATGGGTCTATTCCTGTCAGGCCTGTGCTAGGGCAAAGGTCAGGGAAGAGGTCTTGGGAACAGGAGCTTCAGAAGTGTCCCAGTTGGCCATAGCCAGCTTAGTCCCGAGGTCAGGGCATTCTAAATGTGATTCCAGGAATGCAAGCAGGAGAAATCCCAGTGCAGACCACAGTCAATGTTCCTGCTGAATACTGGTCTCTGGTATGTGGAAAAGAGATGACAACGTGAGGGCAGTGTTTGCCACACGCTTTGGCCACACACAGATTCACTCGACTTGCCTTCACTTATTAGTCAGCTCAGACTTCTTCCGTCTCCTGTGCCCCTCATCGTTTAACCCTCCATCTTATAACCTTAGCCCTGGCTTTCTCCACTCCAAGGAGAATTGGTGTATATCAGACTTAAAGTGGTTCTTTATCACCTGCACTTAACAGATAGCTTGATCGCCTTAAGCTAAGTCATATCTCTACCCCCAAAGCCACATTACCCTAATTCTAATCCTTCGATTAACCCATGTCCTAATTCTGACCTGGGACCTTCCCTACAACAGGCCTCTTTTCTGTAGCAATTCTGACCCATGACAGCACTGTGTCCTTTTTCCTTCCAGATCTCCTGGGAATCTTCTTTTCCCATAACATTTCTCCTTCCCACTATTTTCTATTACAAATTAAAGTTATCCAGGCCAAGGGACACCTCTGGCTAGATGAAGCTACCATAGAACCTCTCCACAGCTTTCTTCTGAGGCTCACACTGAATTAATGATAAACTCCAAAGTAAGCGTGTTATTCATAATTGTAATGGTGGAGAAGATTGTGTGTGTGTGTGTGTGTGTGTGTGTTGTGGAGATGTCGTGGTGAGAGAAGAAGCTTCATATCTTCTGGAATCTCTGTAAGTGTGTAGCTAACGACAATCCTCCGAGTGGCTCATGGGCCACAGCCTATGGTTTCAGCTATTTGTGTTCTCCTGTCCTCTGGTCCACCTCTCCTGGTTCACCTTTAGCTTGTTGGAATGGAGAAAACTGGTTATATTGTATCAGTAGATGCTGCTCTCAGGACCACAGCCTCCTTAGTCAGCACCATCAGAGTCTTCTCTGTAAAGGGCCCCATCACTACTTCTTCCTACAGAGCTCCAGGACAGGAAGGGGAGTTCTGTACCTGGAAACTTCCTGTTGCCCCTTTGCCTACCGTTTTCATTTCTCGACATGTAGAGTATAGTTGTTGCTTGTTCCTGGGCGACAGATTTTCATGCTCGTTCTTTCTGGCCTATGGGGAGAGGGGATAGAGATGGGTGAGGAGAGGATAAGATAGATACCCAGGGCAGGAAAGAGTTAAAAACAGGGGGGGGACTTTTCCTCCCATAAAAATGAAATGGATAATCTGATTTTAACTCTCCAGAGTAACTGTTGAATCTGGGATCTGCAGGAGGGAGCGACCCCAGACAAGGTGGTGGTGGCGGCCTTGGGGTCGTTGTATACAGTGACAGAAATGGAAGGATAGCTGGCATAGGGGAAAAGGAACTAAAATGGAGCGGAATCTCTGCCTTTTAGCCTGTGCACACATGGCAGAAGGGCTGTATTTCCCCGTAGGCAGCACATTTCCCCCATTTTTCAAATGATTTCCACCAAATGGCCTGGGAACTTCTGACTCAATGAAACCCTTCCTGCAGGCCCTCTGCACATCATGCGTTAAGTCAGAGCTGATCTAGAGCTGGTAAATCTCTTGTGAGGCCCCTCCTTTGGGGAAGAAAGGCTGTGCAAAGGAAGAACTAGTGGGAAAGAGATGGGGCACCCTTCTATTCACTGTAAAGACTCCTTTCTTTTTTTATTTCATTTTTGCAAAATGGGAGAGAGCCTCAGAGCATTTACACCTGGGATGGAGGGCTCTAAAGTACATGTCTGACTGAGGTTTCCTTAGGAGGTGGATGAGAACTTGAATCTCAAATTACATTTGGATATTCAATCTAGCATCTTTTGATGCACGCTGACATCAGTGTAATCTGATACATCCGTAGAAAGTGTGGACCATAAGTGAGAAGAGCGCCACGGTGACAAGTTGAAGAAGAGAGCCATAGTGACAAGCCAACAAACAAGGACTATCAATTTAAACTCTCTCCTTCCACTTGGCCCATGTATGCCCTGACTCTTTCCTGTTGCCCTGGGAGATGTGGGAGACAGGAAAGGCCAAACACATCAAACCAGCATGATTAGTGTACAGCAAAGGTGACCTTTGCCACATTGATCTGCAAGTTTTATCCTGACAGATAGATAGCATTTGCAGTTTGAAGACTGAATAATACTGAAAAACATTGGATTCTTCTGACAAATATTAAAACTATGCTTCATCTTTATAGGACATGAGAAAGAATCAACTCACTATTAGCGCCGTGGGTTGGCATGTGAGAGCATGAGTGCAAATGGGTAGGTTTAATAATTTAACAACCAGTATTTATTGTGGGCACCATATGTGGGAGGTGCAATATGGGGACATAAATAAGACAAAGCTCTTAGGAAGACATGAAGATAATCCAAATTCACTGTTCATTGGGTACAGCGAGGTATACAAGACACAGCTTCTCACATCAAGCTGCTCACCATTCACCAATCTGAAGCCCATGAGCATGGCTGTTGTATTAACTACCTTTTGCTTTGCTGTGACAAAATACCCAGAACAATGGTGACTACCATCCTTTGGCATCAAAAGGATGAAAATATTCTCTAGATTATTAGTCTGTCCTCGTTAATGCATTATCCTTTAAGACACAGCTTTTCCCTCCAGTTACTCAACTGCAAGAACTATGTCTTGCATGTTGTGTTTCTAGAGTCTGCGATGGACACAGGTTCACAAATTAACAAATATTGAATAAATGAGTCATGGTTATTAATTTGAACTATCAGATGCAAATATAGACATATCCACAAAGATCACTGTTATACCGATCGATGTATTACAGAAATCTTCCAAGAAGAGCTGCTCCATTCTTCTTTATCCGGGGGATAAGGAGGCAGCTGCAATCTGCAAATCTGAAGTGGATATTAATCATTTTGGATTCCATGTTCGAGAGGGCTCCTTTCCTCCAGTCATTCTTTCTTCTTTTTGACCTGCACCATTCCCACCTTGCTCTCGTTCCCTAAGGCTGGCATAGCCCCAGCAGCAGCAATGGAGAGAAAACTGGCCAGGCTCACTGCCAAGCTCCTGGTGATATCATCTCTCCAGCTAGAGACACTGGAACATTAAATGTGTCTCTTATTTTCTAAGCAGCTGTCCTCGAAATAGCCGATCATAGTAACAGGAAGGTTACAGCAACCTGTAGAAAGTCTAGTAGAGGTGTAACCAGATGTCAAGCAGTCTCCAGATGTTGAAGAGTCCTAATGTTTTACAACTGCAAGATCTTATTTTAGGACAGTATTTTCTCAGATTGCAAAGAGCTGGCTCATGATCCAAGATTTTCACTTTCTAAAATACTTGATAAAGAACTTGAAGTTTATTTCATTCTTTCCATCTTTACACACTCACCCCACCCCCAATACACGGGTATATGCACACACACATACCTGTTTACATAACAAAACTGAAAATGTAAGTGCCAGATGGTGATTTTAAAAATAGACAGACAAGCTTCATTTCAATATAATGATAATTTGCCTATGCCCTTTTTGCTCTTTACTACATCTATTCCTTTCCAGGGTTCTACTCCTGACTTAGCTGACAGGGACCTTTCTGGTTTCCTTTCTCAATTAACCCAGTGAGGAAACAGTCATCCAGAAAGGCTAAGAGACTTATCTGGTAACTCATCCACTTAGGCTCAGTGGTCAAGATTTTTTTCTTTGGTCTTGTTTTGTTTTTATAAAAGAGTCAAAGACAAATGATTTTCCCCCTCAGGGTAAAAGTGAATCCTTAGAGTCTACTTGAGGGCATGATTATCTCTCTACCTTTAAAGACTGAAAGGCTAGTCAGTTCACTGTTTCAGAACACATATAAAATAACTACACCCTTCTCTATCTGAAAATATCAATGATTTCCATCAAAGAATAAATCCGAAAGTTTCCCTACTATTCACTAGGAAAACTATTATACACAAAAGAGCTAGGCATGTACTATCCAGACTTATTAAATGTATGTTCTGTGGTCATAATAATTTTACAACAATCATATTCATTATTCTGAAGGCTTTTTACAGTTGTATATATTTGGTAAATATAAACAGGAAAAAGACTTAGGACCATATGAGGTAGTTTCTCTGGTGGTGATAACTTTCAAAATTTAGAATCAAGGAGAAATAATTAGCTAAAGAGTTCTTAGTGGTGAGAAAATGGGGTTCATCTTTTATTGTTTCCCAGCTGACCCTCTGATAATGAACAGTGTCTTCAGCCAAAGCTTTTTGTTACAGGCATGCTGAAAGCAAAATGAATAATACTGTCATGTTTAATCTGACTTCATTAGATCAGAAAAGCAAAGTCAGAGAGAGAGAGAGAGGCAAGCACTGGGGGGAGGTATTGAGAGAGCAGTAATCAGTGTGCCCTGCAAGTCCTGGCTAGTACCTCCTCAACCTCACAGCTTGGCAAAGGAGGCTTAGAGCCTCCAGTAACTCCAGCGTTCTCCAGGTAACTCATGCACTTCTCCCTCCATGTAGAATAAGTAACCTTTTGGAATCTTCATGAAGCAAAATGCTAGATGAGAGTGTGGCTAGTGAAAATTCTGCCCAGGAAACACTGAGAGATGTTTATGCTTATTTCTTGCCTTCATTCAAAAGCTTTCCGTTATCCCCCCCCCCCCATCCTCCATCTCCTGGGTATTGTTTTAGAGCCCCGAGGCTCCATGCATCCTGTTCTTGCTGTCTGCCTCTCTCTCCCAGACCCTATCTTTCTTTGCCTTCTGTCGCTTCAGGCACATTTGTACCTGCAGCTGCTGCTTGGCCCTCCCAGGGCAAGTGGGGAATGCTGCTGTGGAATGTGAGAGTTCAAATCGTGCCCTTTGACTGTTGATGGTGAAGAGGAAGGGAGCCAGGTGTCTGGACCTTTGCACCTATATGGTGTCCAGGGCCTCTGGTTGGTCACAATGATTGGCAGTTTCTTGGCAGATCCCCTGGCTTAAGGATAAAAAAAGAAGGAACAATGTCCACAAAACATTCCACTCCCTTGAGGCATGACATAGTTTCTTTCTGGAAAGGAGCAGCTGTCGAGCCTGCATTTACCTCACGGCAAGCATGTGGCAAGGATTCGTAGTTCATAGCATACTCTGGAGGACTGTTGTGACAGTTAAGGGTCTGACTTGAGGCACAGCGTGGTGCCTAATAGAACAAGGTTCCAAGATTGCCCAGAGACCCTTCCCACCTACAAGGGTGATTCTCTCTCACACACAGCAGTGGAGGAGCAGACGCTACTAAGACGAAGATGACACTGAAAGCCGTGGATTTCTATTCTTGCAGGAGCAGTGCATATGTATTTCCTCTTAGGTCTGCTCAGAGACTGCTCTCTCAGACCTACCATTTATTTATTGGTCAGGCTGCTGGAGGCTGTTGCTCCTAACTGCCCTCTAGCGGTCGGCCACCAGCATTGCAGTCACAAAATGCTAAGCACTGCCAAGAGGAAGGCCTCCAGAGGTCTTTGGGAAAGCTTTTGCTGCAGCCACAAGGTGCTTTGGTGTCTTAGTGTCTGTGCTGGCACAGTGTACTGAGACACAAAGCAAATCTCGGGGAGCAGGCAATTGGCGGCAGATGTGAGCTTGTCTAAATAGTTTAGATTTCGGTGACTGAAAGCTTTTTGTCTGTGGTCAGTCTCTCTTGTCTTCTCTCTCCCCCTCACATAGTACATGTCACGGTTGCCTTGCTTGCTTGTTCAGGGTGCGAGGCAGACTAACTAACCAAACTCTTAGTACAGCTTGGACCCCAACACCTCTGTGCTGAAACTGGCATGTCTGCTCACAGTCCGTGGTTTTATGGGTTCGCTGTGCTGAGGCTGCAGGCAGCAGGCTTGCTCCTGCTTGACAGAGCTTTCTCAGATCCTTGGGTGTTCTTCAAGCATTTCCTGTACTCTCAGGCTCCGCAGCTTTCTGGTATTCCTTCCTTTTCCCTAGTCTCTTTTGCTCTTTCTCCAAGCTGGCTCTGAATTGTAGGTGTAAACGTGTTACCTTCAAGCCATGCAGGTGCCAATTCCTCCACCCTCCCCACCCCTTCCCAGCCTGGAGTGACCTTCCCTCCCACCTTCTCAAGCACGTTGCCCCACTCTCTGATAGTTCTGTGAGTGTCACCAGTCTCGTCTCATTTAGCCTGCCCTGTGCCGCCGCGTCTGTGGGCTGCGAATGAGCTACTCTTTTCCGTATCACGTTAGACTAAATGAAAAGGGTTCATTCAGTTAGCATTCCTGGACTGATATGAGGGCTCCTCATAACTGTTGCTCACGGCTCGCTATGGGTTGGGCACTGGGCCAAGTGCTGTGGGCACTCCTTCCGGTACTACCTTGCAGCAGTTTTACCAAGTGAAGGAATTCCTAATATCACCAGGTGTGTCCCTCCATCCCTCTCTCCACAAGCGCTCAAATACCTTAGCTTAGATGCCTCTGTGCTACACAGTGACTCCAGGGCCACCAGCAACCAGCTGTTTCAGATTTCTGTTAGCTGGAGGGGAAGCGGGGGAGTTTTAATGGAAGCTCCACAGGTGTAGGAATTTGTTTGTGGAAGACAAAGTAATTCCTGAGGGCTGGGAAGAGGATGTGTTAGTGTCTCTAGAAACCAGGGGAAGAGGATGGGTTAGTGTCTCTAGAAACCAGGAACACGCTGTCTCTGAGATCTTTCTGGCAGACTCTTCCATAATTAATTTCTGCTTTCCCTTTTTTTGGTATTTCTAACATTATTTATTTTTAGTTATAACATACTGGTGCACTAAAATACTTGAGTCAGGGTAAGCACAAATAAAACCTGGTTTTATTTGTGGTGATACAAATTCATTTAATTAAACAAATAAATATTCATTGTACACCGATGATGCGCCAGGCACAGACTCACGTTAAGGAGATAGGAAATACAATCATATTCTATATTAGGGACAAAGGAACAGATACAGTGTTCACAACACATTATGCTCTCTTGAGGCAAGACAATTCACAGAGGGATTCATGAAAACATTCTGAGTACCTTTGATATGACATCTGGAACTTGAAACAAATTTGGTAAATCCATGTCCTTCTTGGATAAAGTCAGAACAGTGGCAGAGGTGTGATATCTAAGTGATCAAAGCAAAAGCAAGTTAGAAAACCCGTGGCGTGGAGACGCAGACCCCAGCTGTTGTGGAGACAAGGCCTGGGAACTTGTTCTGTCTTCTGCTTTAATTCTGCAGTTCTGCATAGCTCAGGCCACAGGGGCTCCGGCCATGGGGGCTCAGGTCATGGGGGCTCAGGTCATGAGTGCTACCACATATGCTCTTAGGTCACTTTGGTCTCTCTTTTTTTTTCTTAAGTAACCAATGACAGTCCTAGACAAGATACAAATAAATCAGGGGAAAGACTGCCCCTGGGAGCCGAAGTGCACAGAATGAACTGCGCCTTAGGTTTCTTCTTCAACACGTCTGCATGGATGTGAAGTCTTTAACAATGACCAAGAACCCATCCTTTGATGCCTGCCTGGTTTCCTGCACTTCACGCTCCTGCACACTCAAACAACTTACCTCTTTCTTCCCACAGTGATGGTCATCTTTCACTGGAACCTTCTTCCCAGTTATCAGGTGACATGGAGATGTGACAGGGCAACACCCGTTGTCTCCACAGGATTACCTACTCTCCTACTGAAGTTCATGTAGTTGAAGTGTTAGGGGTTGAGGCCTTGGTGTGGGGGTGGTGAGACACTGGGCATGCCCTTGCCATCCAAGGGATGGAAACAAGGAGTGCTGATCCTCCACCAAGAACACCTCTCTTCTTTAGTGAGAAGGGATTCCATTGTTCATTGTTCATGTGAAGGGAGTGTAGTGTTCATAAAGTATTTATTGTTTCATTTCTCATGCCACTTCCCTGGGTCGTAAGAAGCAGGGGAGGTAGTCTGATGTGAATTCCTCCACAGACTGCCTCAGATTTATTATTCCAAAAGTGACCAGGAAAGACAAGAGGGTGAAGTTGGTTCTGCTTCAGCACACAATAATCTCTCATTAACAGGACCTCCGAATCCTGAGCAGCTCTGGGCAATGGGTGTGGTTTCAGCACAGTCCAGCTAAGCTGGAGGAGTGCTCCTGAGAGGAAGTGACTCTGTACAGGCACTTCCCCATCACTTCCTGGAAGTCTTACAGGTCTCCCTTCCCCATCACTTCCTGGGGGTCTTACAGGTCTCCCTTCCCCATCACTTCCTGGGGGTCTTACAGGTCTCCCTTCCCCATCACTTCCTGGAAGTCTTACAGGTCTCCCTTCCCCATCACTTCCTGGGGGTCTTACAGGTCTCCCTTCCCCATCACTTCCTGGGGGTCTTACAGGTCTCCCTTCCCCATCACTTCCTGGGGGTCTTACAGGTCTCCCTTCCCCATCACTTCCTGGGGGTCTTACAGGTCTCCCTTCCCCATCACTTCCTGGGGGTCTTACAGGTCTCCCTTCCCCATCACTTCCTGGGGGTCTTACAGGTCTCACCTCCATCCCTACAGCTCTGTTTCCACGGCTTGTTTGAAGCTGGGATGTCCTGAGACAAGTCTCACTAAACATTCCTTTATCTTCTCTAGGCCATTCTAATAGATCTGCTTGTCCAAAGGCATGCAATACTTTGAGTGCTATGAACTGTCCCCTAAGGGCTTAGGAAAGTCACTGCCAAACCAACATTCTGGCGTCTGAAACTCTGGACAAATGAAGAGTTTCTGTCCTTATAAGCAGCTAGACATCAATTATCCTCTTTCTGTTTCCAATAAGCAGTGTGCCTGCCTTGTCCTCTGAATGCTGAGGGCACTTCACAGGTCTGGCCCAATCACAGTCTGGTGAGGGAAGTAGGCTCATTCTCTAAGCAGAGATTGAGATTGCTACTTCAGTCTTAGTGGATTTCACTTACTGAGAATTTCACTTACTACCATATGGAACTTCTCATCATCAGCCTAAATGTGGCCAGCAGAGGGGGGAAATGATAGCATCCCTTTCCAACTGCTGCCGACAGATACCTAGTCTTAACTCTGAAAGAACAGATGCCATGACTGTTCAGCTGGGTACTAAGCCTGCCTCTCTCAAGCCTGGCTCTTTTCTCTACTCCCAAACTTTTACCAGAAGGCTTGTACAAAGAACAGGGGAGTTGGAGGCAAGGTGAACACGCACTGGGCTGCTTTACATCTGGGTTCAGGGGCACATCCAGTAGGCAGAGAGTACTATGGGGTAGTAGGGGTTAGCTTATTAGATGTCAAGCTCTAGCAATTGAAAATTTCCAGATTTTAGGAAACCTGGTATATCTGGCCCCCAGACTCACACATCTGAGGCAACACTGACTCAGGTTGAGGGCAAGATGTCACCTTTGGTCAGTTCTCACATTCCTTGCCATCTCAATCTGATAGCCTTATCAGGTGGCATCCATCTAACTGTCATCAGCATGTGAACTTACGACATAAGCGCAATTAAAAAAGATGTTATGTTTTCATGACTCACGATGATTCTTGAGGTACTGTCAACTCTTAATAAGTATATTACTTTGTTGCTTCCAAAGCAAACCTTTGACTTTATTGAACCTCTGATTGCTCACGCCAGATAAACACACACACACACACACACACACACACACACACACATACATACACACATACCCTGACCAATAGGCACTCAAATGTTTGCTTTGAAAATACACAAACCCATCTATCAGCTTGTGGAAAACTGTTTTAAGGTGCAGACAAAGCAAAAATGTAGTAGGGATGCCCTTCATGGAGTCATCTGTTTACAGACATAGGAATGCATAACAATTATCCACAGGCAAGGAAACTCTTGGAAAGTGTGCTTTTTCTAACAACCTTTTCCAGTCTCTGAGCAGCCTATGAAGCTGCCTCTGGGTCTTTCTTGCTTATCCCAATTCCTTACTCCCCTCCTTCCATCGTCTCACAACCTGTCTCCCCCCACCCTCCCAGGAGCCACTTATCACCACACCTAGGGACAATTTAATTACTAAGCAGGGGAGGAATAATGAGGAGCCTATTTATTTTAAGTGGAAACTTAAATGCTCCCTGCATACAAATTCTCAATATTTAAAAACAGAAGTGTTCTTTTTTGGCTTTGTGGGGAGAGGAATGATGAAACTGGAGAAGGTGCCCAGAGAAAAACAGCAGCTACTACTCTATAAAGAGGAATTGTCATGGTTCTAGACGTTTGATCGCTAAAATTTGAAGACTGGAAACTAAAGCAGGGGAGAGAAAGATATGGAAGGGTTTTGAGAGATAGTATCTAGGGTTGAATAGTGGAGAAAGAAAGGAAGGTTATGCGGGCCTCATCTCCTCTGGCAAGGTCTTCATGCTGCATAACTTTGTCTGAGAACTCCAGGGCATTTCTGAGTTTTGTGAGCTTGACCGGGTTTCTCCACTTATCACACGTACCTCTTCCCCTTGGAAAGACACCCATTGAGATCTCTCTCAAACACTTTGTCCTCAGAAACTGGGGGATTACCTTCCAGGGATGCTGAGTACCAGGGGCTTGTTAACCAGGCTGGCCTCACTAAGCCAAGGAACCTTGTCAAATTTTGGAACAAAAGCCTGAAGAGAAAGGGAAAGAGATAATTTTGCAGAGTTTATCACACTTATGAAAAATGAAAAAAATGTTAAAAGGGGTCACAGGACTGGCGAGGTGACTCAAATTTAAAAGCCAGGTTCAATTGATAACACGCACCTATCCGCTCGCAGCTGCCTGTAACTATAGTTTCAGGGGACCTAGCACCGTGTCTTATGGCCCTGCTTTCAGGAGCACATACACACAGACACATGTGTAGCTAAAATTAAAAATAAAATATTAAAACAGTTAGACACTTGATTAGTGCTGGTACTATGATAACCAAAGTGAGCTATTAGCAATCACCTCTACAAAAATTTGTACATGTGAGTCTGTCAACCATCCCATAAAGTGGCCAAGAACAAACACGTGCTTTCTCTGGTTTACAAACGAAGAGTTCAGAGTGAAGGTAGTGTGAGTTCCTCTAAGCGACACGGTTAATAAGGGAGTTCATGCTTTCTGACTTTTGTGTCCATTATATCCTGTATTCTACATATGTTTAGTTCTTTGTACTTAACATCTATTTATAAATTCTGTAATATTTCCATGAACTCAGCTGAAAATCAGCCATCTCTTGTCCCAATCCTATAGCCGTGTTTTCAGACCCAAGGGCCTCCAACCTCACTCTTTTGGGGTGGCAAAGTCTGGGAAAGAATCGAGTTTTTGAGCCATCCACATCTGGACACTTGATCTAGCTGCAATCAGTATATAGCTGCCTGCCTTTGGACAAATATAGGCTTATGATCTCATTGTCTCTGTGGCGGTCAATGCCCAGAAAGCTCCATGAGGTATGGAGGGTTTGTTGTTTCCTCTGCTAATGCAGTATTATGAGCACTAGGAGCCTGGGTTGGCACCTCTATCTATACGAAGGCTTGAACGCAAGGGAAGTCCCTTAGCTGAGGGCCTGGCAATAACATAAGCTCAACATCCGCAGCTGGTACCACTCTTCCACCAGCCGGGAATCTATTCCTGCCTCCTCCTCCCTTTGAACCCCTGGAGGAGCTTCCCAGGCTCAGAGATCGCACTTTGAGCCGATCTCCGGGAAAGGAGCAGCCAGTAGAGGGCAGCAGCAACCTCGCGGTGTGCCGGCTCCGTGCCGGACGCTTTGGCGGTGGAGTGGTGCAGACCCGGAAGTTCTCCTTCATAGTGGCACCCTCCAACCCCGCGCCCCGGACGTAGAAATCGCTGGACGGTTGCCCTTCTCAGTTGTGCACCCTCAGGAGCTCGGTGCAGGTGGGTTCCGGCATCCTCCTAGTCAGGTCTGTCCTGCCGAGCCAAGGCCAAGTGGGAGAGGGGCGGCGGCAGGCTGGGAGGCGGGCTGGGTGAGTGGCAGGCAGAACTAAACTGGACCCTTCCCCGGCCGGTGACGCGGACCTTTCAAATCCAGAGTCCCCGTGCGTGAGGGTAGACTCCAGGGTGTCTGGCTTTTGAAGCAAAAGTCTATCCTGGCCTCCATGGAATAAAGAAAGGTCCGGTAGGAAGGTTTTTTTCCCTCAAATTTGCTGAGTGACCTTCGTGTTTCTGACTCTAAGTTTTCCCCGCACTGGAGTTTTGTGTTTCAGTTAATTAGAATGACATATCACTGTAGAGGGTGGTAAGCTTAGCTAATGAACAAAACAGGTTTGAATTCTGGATTTGGGCTAAAACTGTAGGTATCATGCTCTTATGAATTGTGCAGATTATTTTTGTCATGAGACCTATAACGCAATTTGATGCCTTTGGGAACCTGGTAACAGCTATGGATTGTGTCACTATAAATGTGCATAAATTGCAAATACAGTCATGCAAAAATAGTATATACCTTAGATGTATGAACGCCAAAGTTAAAACTGGCTTACAGGAAGATAATGAGAAGCACAAACTTTGATATTAGTCTTTGTTGGAGTTCTGGCTCCACTGTTATTGGTACATAAATACCCAACCAGTGTGAAACTCAGATGTCTTACTAGGTAAAGTGAGACAGGTACTAACTTACATTGTGACAGTTAAAGAAGGTACATAAGACTTTAGCATGAGTCAGTGATGTCATGCAGATTTAATTGTTAATGTATTTTAAATGCGTCAGATTATGTCACTATACACAGTTTAGGCTTTCCTTAAACTGAGTTGTTTGATTGTAACATAGTCCTCCCATGACCTTTCAAGCTTTCATATATTCACAGATCTCTCTTTTTCTAGGAATTTAGCTGTGTTGTCCTGCCTCACAGAACAAACTCATCCGTAGCAGGCCTAGCCTGGGTTGCAGCCTTTGTAAGCAAGGAAACGTCTGGAGGGTATCAGCATGGCATTTCCATAGAGGTCCTAGTTTGCAGCTGTATCTAGAGCGAGAATTGTGTGGACTTCTCTGAGGGAGATCAAACCAGCCCAGATTTGAGGGAAGAATGAGATAATGTGCGCTCAACATATAACGGACACCACAGAAGTCAAGTGGCAGAAGGTTTTATATGAGCGACAGCCCTTCCCCGATAATTATGTTGACCAAAGATTCCTGGAAGAGCTCCGGAAAAATATCTATGCCCGGAAATACCAATACTGGGCTGTGGTGTTTGAGTCCAGTGTGGTGGTACAGCAGCTGTGCAGTGTCTGTGTCTTTGTAGTGATCTGGTGGTACATGGATGAGGGTCTTCTGGCCCCCCAGTGGCTTTTTGGGACTGGACTGGCATCTTCCTTGATTGGATATGTATTATTTGATCTCATCGATGGAGGTGATGGACGGAAGAAGAGTGGGCGGACCCGGTGGGCTGACCTGAAGAGTACTCTGGTCTTCATTACTTTCACTTACGGTTTTTCGCCAGTGCTGAAGACCCTGACAGAGTCTGTCAGTACTGACACCATCTATGCCATGTCAGTGTTCATGCTGTTGGGCCATCTCATCTTCTTTGATTATGGTGCCAATGCCGCAATTGTATCCAGCACACTGTCCTTGAACATGGCCATCTTTGCGTCTGTTTGCCTGGCTTCACGTCTCCCCCGGTCACTGCATGCCTTCATTATGGTGACATTTGCCATCCAGATTTTTGCACTGTGGCCCATGTTACAGAAGAAGCTGAAGGCATATACCCCACGAAGCTATGTAGGGGTCACTCTGCTGTTTGCATTTTCGGCTTTTGGGGGTCTTTTGTCCATTAGTGGTGTGGGAGCCATTCTCTTTGCTCTTCTGCTGCTTTCCATTTCGTGTCTCTGCCCTTACTACCTCATTCATCTTCAGCTTTTTAAGGAAAATATTCATGGGCCTTGGGATGAAGCTGAAATTAAAGAAGACTTGTCTAGGTTTCTTAGCTAAGCTAGGGACCTTCATCCCGTTATTAAGACAAGCCAAAAGACTTAGAACCTAAACAGTATAATACTTAAAGGCAGAGTTCCTCTCTTGAAGCACTGGGCTTATCTGGGTGGTAGAACAGAGAGCAGAAGGAAGAGTTTAACCCAGGGCTTAGGGGAAGGTGTTTGTCCTTCAGTTATTTTGTGACTGAAAAGCTTTTTGGTGCTGTCATGAATTATTGTCCCTCTTTATTCCTTGTAACAAATAATGCATTATGGGTTCTGCTTATTAAAAAAGTAACACCCATTGAATTGTCTCATATTTTAAAAATGCTCTTATTTATATGTAAATGTGTGTGTGTGTGTATGTGTGTGTGTGTGTGTGTGTTTTGGTTCTTTTTGCAGTATGCATGTCCCAGGTATTTGACCCAGGCCTTGGCAACAATGCGTTTACCAGCTGAGCCACCACACTGGCCCTGTCTCATGATTTTTCTAATAAAAGTGGTATGAGGAGTAGTAGGTGTGTGTAATCAGTTATCTAGCCTTTTCTGTGTACCGAGGAACTCCTTTACATATTTAGAGCCCAAATTTGAGAATTCAGGATGGTGATATCCAGCTTGTTGTCCAATACCACAGAAGTCGTTTTAGTTCTTATCGGATCATATGTATAGGCAATAAAGGAGAGATATGCATCATAGAAACAAAATGTTAAGAGACATTGAAAGACGCTGGAGAGAGTTCATATGAAGCAGTTAGGCAACAAGAGGTGACATTTACTCATGGAGGATAGCTGCTGAAAGCCTTTGAGAGCCAGGTAAGTAATGTTAGCTGGTACCGAAACTATGGAACAGGCAACTGTCCAGTGAGGGCAGCTGCTGCTCCAAAAAATGATTGTTTGCGCTCAGTTTGGGCTTCATACCTGTGCGTTTCCAAGAAAATGAGTATTACAGTAGCTGTGAATCTGATTTGTAATAGGAAATGTGCTTTGTAAGCTGTCTCAAATTTAATCCAGGTTACAAGAACATTTGCAGGTAAAATGTGACTACATTTGATGCCATATCCGCTAGCCAAGGCACAAAGATGGGAACAGGATAGGGATTTAGAGGAAAGAAAGTGGGAGCGTGAGTAATGGTTCAGCTCTATTGATACAGTCACGTGGGTTCTGTAGCCTGTTGTGAGCAACCCGGTTTGTCTAAAGATGGGGTAAATTGAAACCTTGAGTTAGCTAATTGTTCAGTTCTCAGTTTTCATCTTTAAGAATTGTGATAATTAGATAAGCTGTGTGTGAACTGTCTTGAAGAATGCCTAAGGATGCACAGTATTAGTGCTGAATATCTCAAATGCAGAATTCTGAAACCAAAAATGCTCCCAAGTCTGAAAAGTTTTGAGCATCAATGTTATTCCCTGTGGAAATTCCACGTTCTATACATTATACATTGTACATGAAACCTTCATGTATGAAATTATTTAAGAAATATAAAATTGTCTTCATACTGTGTATGAGGTATATATAAAACAAGTGAATTTTGTATTTGGATGGGTTCCATTCTTAAGCCATCATTTTATGTAAAAATTTCAAAATTTGAGGAAAGAAAACTTCAAAAGTTTTCTGTTCCTAAGTATATTGGATAAGGGACACTAGGTGTGTCATGATAATTGGAATGCAGAAAAATTTGAAGAGGTGAATGGCACAAAATTAATCAGGTACTTCCCTGAGTGACTACTTCCAGCTGTGAAGGTACATGTAGGTACTGTCCTCTGGCTATTGTAAGTCATTCAAATTAGAAATAGCAAGAAAGTAGTATACTGTGAAGTAATGCTTTTTATTTTTCTGATTTTTCATAAATGTCTTGAATAGGACTTTGAACTAATGTCTGTAGCTGCCATCTTCATCCTTTTTTGATGTTTACTGTGATGGATAAAGATTGTCTCATGGTAAAAAGTGGGTGATTGTCCCCCAAGACCACTTACACTGTTTTCCAAAACCCAGGGACCTCTGGTGATGGGGACAAACTGTCCCATGGAACCCCAAAGCATCCATGCACTGTGATGGGTCACACATTTTGTACCTTGAAAGTGGTACAAATTATTCTATAGTCCACATTAGTGGATGGCGGATGGATGTAGCGAAGAACTGTAAAAATCTGTGTTTCTTTTTCATGTTTTAATACTTTGGTTTATGTGAATAGGTTTCCAGTTTTCAATCTCATGACAGTGAACAGAATGCTTCAAAAGACTGAACCACTCTTAAGGCTAATGGGGTGAATGAATGTGGCTGCTGTTGTTTCCAGCTCTTTTTGTGTGTCTTTTATTTGGAGTCATCCAGTACTCAAATGTTACTCATATTTGTGGCCCTAAGTCAGTGTGGAGGGGATGGGGGATGGGGAGTTGTGGGAAGGTGCAGCATAGACTGGACACTAATGGAGCTGTAGGGAGAAGGGTACCTGTGGTAGTTTGAATGTAATTGGTTCCCATAATCTCATAGGAAGTGGCACTTTTAGGAAGTATGGCTTTGCTAGAGGGGATATGACCTTGCTGGAGGAAGTGTGTCACAGTGGGGACAGGCTTTGGGGTTTCCTATGCTCAGGATACCACCCAGTGTCTCAGTCAACTTCCTGTTGCCTGCAAGATGTAGGACTCTCAGCTACTCCTCCAGCACCATGACTGCCTTCGTGCTGCTATGCTTCCTGCCATGATGATAATGGACTGAACGTCTGAAACCGTAAGCAAGCCCCCCTCAATTAAATGTTTTCCTTATAAGAGTTTCCCTGGTCATGGTGTTTCTTCACAGCAATAGAAACTCCAACTAAGACAGTACCACAAG